CTCCCATAAGGATCCTCAATTCGGTTAACGAACAAAACTTCGATTAACGTAATCCTTACGAACAACACGTTTTGTTGTGAGCATCAGCTGATCAGCTGAGGGGCCAGTCTGTCAATTCAGTAATCTGTTCTATGTTTACATTCGTTTCCAGTGGAGCAAATATCAAGAAAGATGTGCTCTTTAATATTTTTGCCTTTTTTATATTAAAATTACTAGTCACTTGAAAATTTAGTTAACAAATTGATAATTAATATATGCAGTACAGGGAACTAGTTTTTTGTGCGCCCATCAGCAGCTTGACTCACCCACTAGGCGTTAGTTTGGTTTTGTTTGCAGTGAACATCGATTTTGTTGGTGTCTTGAATATTTTTGCACTTTTACATTAAAATTATTGATCATTCTGAAATTTTAGTTAACATATTGACAATATATAGCTCAGTGCAGTGTTGATTTAAATAAAATAATCTTGGAATTACACCTAGTGAACTTAAAATTTTATTGATGAAATTACTGCATCAAGCATGGGTCCCCTGAAAGGTGATTTCTCCTCCATCCCCACTTCCTTCTCTTCTCCCTTCTCCTCCACCCCCACTTCTAATTCCCATCATCATCATCAACCAGGAACCTTCTACATACACACCTCAAAGTAAGTGTACTTTACTGCATTTTTATTTTACTTAGTATGAACTTTTCTGTGAGCTGGAACCAATTACCCAATATCCCATTGAAATAATGGATTCGGTTAACAAAATTTTCGGTTAACGAACAACTCTGTGGAACGAATTGTGTTCGTTAACCGAGGGACCACTGAATTAAGAGAAAAAACACTTAAACACGCATGAACGCTGTGAAAGCCTAACAAAGACTGACGACGCTTGGGGAGGCTGTGACGTTCCGCAAGTGAGAGGCAGTGCACCAAGAAGAAGAGAACGTAGCACAGCAAGTCGAGAGAGGGTGATGCTCCATAAAAAGAAGTCTGTGACAATGCTAAAAACGACGTTATATTGAGTCTTCAGGATGTTAACCAAATTATTGGTATCTAAAGAGTAGCAACGCTATAACGAAACGACGTTATTGGGGGCAACGTTAAACAGGGACTTACTGTACAGTATTCCATATGCTTTGTATTTTTTTAGGTCCGTACTACAGTTGAGTCTGCATTTACGCGGTCAATTGAACCCGTGGAGGCCCGCGTAAAACGAGAAACACATATGTGAAATAACAGAACATATGGGATTAATTGAAATAGAGACTGGGCCGACCCCCAAACTCCACTTTTTCCAACACAATACCTACGTTGTAGTAAAAATAACATCTTAATTTTATGATGGTATGCACACACAATAAATATTTAAGAGAAATACAGTCGCCGGTTAATGTCCATTCAAATAATGGACTCAACTCCCCCCTCCCCTCTTCCCACGCTCGCTGACTCCTCTCTCTCTGAAAAATGTTTGGGTGAAAACACTAGATTTTAAGGTAAAGGAATAAATAATACCTCAGACTAAAGTTAGGATAATATAATTGACATTGCTGGATTCCTTGCAGGTCAGGGAATATTTTGAATGTAAACGTCATATATTTTGCACAAAACATAAAATGTTTGTATGTCTAATGCAAATTTTAAGATGTTTATATTTAAAATGGTCACCATCTTGTAAGAATTCCAGCAATGTAAATTATATTCTGGCCGGGTAATTTGTACGAATTTTATGTACTAAAAACTAATTTCTTCAGTAAATAAACAAATTATATTTCACCCACACATTATCTGTCAATCAAAATACCCCACCTCCCGCTCCCCCCCCCCTCCTCTTCCCACGCTCGATGGGTCCCTCCCTCCCTACCCCCACCTTCCCTCCCTACCAGAGAAATGTTTGGGTTAAAACAGTAGTTTTACATTTTTAGTAATAAATAATACCTCAGACTAAAGTTAGGATAATATAATTGACATTGCTGGATTCCTTGCGGGACAGGGAATATTTTGAATGTAAACATCATATATTTTACACATAAGATAAAATGTTTGCTAACTTTCATCATCTCCTTAAATTACATCTAAAATTTTTATGTCTAATGCAAATTTTAAGATGTTTATATTTAAAATGATCACCATCTTGTAAGGATTCCAGCAATGTAAATTATATATTTTATGAGCTAAAAACATATATATCTTCAGTAAATAAACAAATTATACTTCACCCTCGTAAATGATGAAATTTACCTTGTAATTAAAACATTTCATTCTGGCAAGGTGCCGTGTAAATGACCAAACGCGTAAACAAAAACCACGTAAATCCAGACTCAACTGTATACAAAATAATATTTATTTTATTTGCGTCTTTATTATGTTGTCTTTAATTTTTATTTTAAGATATGTGAGAGGGAGAGGGGGTTTACAGATCATTAGAAACACGTTTAGGGTCATTTGAGTGATCGGGGATAGGATATTGGTTATAATATTAGACATTACAATGGTCCCTCGGTTAACGAACACAATTCATTCCAGAAGGTCATTCGTTAACCGAAAATTTTGTTAACAGAATCCATTGTTTCAATGGGATATTGGGTAATTGGTTCCAGCTCACCGAAAAGTACATACAGTATAAAGTAAAAAAAAAAATGCAGTAGAGTACACTTACTTAGAGGTGTGTATGTAGAAGGTTCCTAGTTGACGATGATGATGGGAATTAGAAGTGGGGGTGGAGAAGAAGGGAGAAAAGAAGGAAGTGGTATGGAGGAAAAATCACCTTCTTTGGACCCATACTTGATGCCTCATTTCACCCACAAAATTTTAAGTTCACTAGGTGTAATTCAAGATCATTTTATTTAAATCAACACTGCACTACACTATATATTATCAATATGTTAACTAAAGTTCAGAATGACCAATAATTTCAATGAAAAATGCAAAAATATTCAAGACACCAACAAAATAAATGCTCTCTCCGCAGAAAACAAAGCCAGACTGACGCCTGGTGACCATGGCTGACGGGATTTCTGACTCTTGTTTACCGAACACGCTCATTGGTTCAACTGCTCACGTTGTGATTGGTTGGGAGAACATGAATCCACGACGTAATATTATGATTTTCTATAATAGAATGTGTGGCGAGGGGTAACGAAGATCCCAGATACAGTAATTATATCAGAGTAGTCCTCATACTCAGTGAATTTCATTGTTCCTGTCATTAGTTTTAAAAACTTCTGAATAATAAACACTGCATTATACACCATTCAGAGTGCTATAAGAGATCACATTAGATTTGTATTTTATCAATTGTAATTTGTATTACTTTAGTTCTGCTAAAATATCGCTAGTAAAATGTAGGTAAGGTATTTAAATACATCCACAATTTATTTCTGTGTATTCTATATGGTATTTTAGCCATGAGAAAGCATCTTTCCTAAAGTCAGTAATTTACCGCTAGTCGGAGCAGTGACGTCACGGCTTACCGACTACGTCATCTCATCAATTTACGATTAACAGACGAAGTACCGGATTTGAACCAATCAGCGTGTTCAATAAACAAGAGTCGGAAATTCCGACAGCCCTGCTGGTGACAGACCCACGCATCTGATGGGTGCACAACTAACTAGTTCCCTGTACTGCATATATTATCAATATGTTAAATAAATGTTAAAATGACTAATAATTTTAATACAAAACATTAAAAAATATTAAAAAGCTGAAATTTATAGATATTTAATCCATTGGAAACGAATTTAAACTTAGAACAGATTACTGAATTGGCAGACTGGGCCATCAGCTGATTCTCACAACAACAAATTGGTATGTTAGTTCCCTCTACAGTACAGTCGACCCTCGTTAAAACGGACTAATAGGGGGGGAAGGGTGTCCGTTTTAGCCGATTGTCCGAATTAACCGATTTAGGGGTTAATATTGCATTATACAGCTATGTGTATGTTTATTTGAGTGCCCCGTCATAGGAGTCCGTTTTCTGTCACTTCAGCACTCTCCTGAGTCGTCGTTTCTCTTAATCTTAGAGTGCACCAGAGACTGTTATATCTTAGTAGTGACACAGAATTTGATATTGCAACTGGGGTTGCAATTGTTGAGACAACTTAGGTATGTCTGATTACAGTTGGAATATTCAAGATCCATTGTGAGTGATGTTTAAAGCTTCAACTGTCTTTTATGGTTGGTAAAACTTGTCAAGTCTGTCAGTCTGAATGGCATGTGTGAGGCCTTGTGTTTGTACAACCGCTAAATATATAAATATATAATGTTATGAAAATTATAGAAACACAAAAGGCATAACGAGGTTTATTACAAAGTGATGAAAAGGATACTGTACAGTGGCTAGTCCACAAAACATGTAGCCATGTCTCTTTATTTGAGTGCCCGTCACAAGGTGCGTTTTCTCTCTCACTTCAGGGCGCTGAGTAGTCCGTTTTCTCTTAATCTTAGAGTGCACCAGGGACTTTGTTATTTCTTAGTAGTGACACAGAATTTGAAATTGCAACCCCAATTGCAACTGGGACAATCCCAGAACCAGAAATTTGATATGGACAGTTCAGATTTCGTCCGATTTATCCGAAATCTGGATTAAAGGGTCGATGCGAAGGTCGACTGTACTGCATATATTATCAATATTTAATGTTAAAATGACTAATAATTTTAATATAAAACATTCAAAAATATTAAAAAGCTCAACTTAAATGACATTTAATCCATTGGAAACGAATTTAAACTTAGAACAGATTACTGAATTGGCAGACTGGGCCATCAGCTGACTAGCTGATGCTCACAACAAAACGTGATTTTCGTAACGATTTCGTTAAATTCAAATTTTTGTTCGTTAAACGAATTGAAGATTCTTATGGAAGGTAATTTGTTAACCGAAATTTCGTTAACCGAGGCGTTAACGAGGGACCTGTACATAAGTGAAAAATCCAGAAAAGAGCATTGGTTTTGCTCTCCGCAGTAATACCAGGAACGTAATTCCCTAGAATAATAAGGCACCACTGTATCTTACCTTGTTAAAAGTGAGGCAATCTCTCTCTTCATCATTAGTCATCTTGAAGTCATAGAGAGCTTTACACTGGGGTATATGGCTTGGTAGTGGATTGATAACCTGCAATATAAATACAGTAAATGAAATGCACATTAAAGTCACCAATTAAATCAACAATTTTTAACATGATTTTTTCTAAATATTTCTAAAACATATTTACTGAGATTTCTTTATACAGTAATCTCTCAAAGATCCAGACTAAAAGGGCGGGTGGGGGCACCAGTCCGAATCTTCTGGCGAATGTACGAAATGTTTAAAAAGTTAAATAAAAAAGAAAAGAAAAATAAAGTACATCATATACTGACCACTGGGGTTAGTTATACAGACTTTTACCTGTGAAAGCCATAATCTTGAGCAACATAATGCTGTACGCATCACTTTGTACTCAAATGTACTACACTAAAGGACTAAGAATTTTACATATTGTGCAAACTATGTGTTGCTTATACTCAAGTTAATTCCTATCTAAAAAGGATTCCAGCAAAGCAAGTTATCTGGTCTTCTGTATCTGGTCTTCTATCCATATCACCAATAATTTTTCAATATCGTGAATAGGACCTTGTCTTTTCTTTGAAATTATAGTTCCCTTTACAAGGTGTTGTTCCTCTCACTACATCAGGAATACGTTCCTTGTCCTTCAGAATAGTGGATATGGTCGAATGTGAGAAACCTAGGTCACTTGAGATTGTTGCTACAGTTTTTTCATTCTCACTTTTACGCTTTCCAGTCACTATAAAGTCAATTATATACGATAATAAATAAAGTTTACAGAGCGATCAGTATAGGATATGATAGCCAAACACCAACTAAGCGCTCCACTGAGTGAGTGTACCCACGCTCTCACCCAGGACAGAAATGTTTCGGTATAGAAAATGCGCGCGTCATTTGAAAATATTTTTGGTCACAAATGCCACAGTCGTAAGGACAGAGCAGGTCAGAAGTACCATGGGACGAAGTCCAAGCAGTCATAAATCGGGAATATATATATATATATATATATATATATATATATATATATATATATATATATATATATATATATATATATATATTATATTATATATATATATATATATATATATATATATATATATATATATATATATATATAGAACCCAGAGGGTCCCGCTAAGTGAAATCCGCGTTAAGTGCACAACAGAACATATGGGATTAATTCCAATAGAAACCAGCCCGACCCCCAAACTCCACTTTTTGAAGACACATAACTATGTTGTAGTAGAAATAACATCTTAATTTTATGATGGTACATGCACACAATTAATACTTAAGAGAAATAGAGAAATACAGTCGCCAAGTTAATGTCCATTCAAATAATATTCTTCAAGACACTATCTGTCAATCAAAGTACCCCACCTTGACTCCCTCCCTCTTCCAACCACGCCGGTCAGTCCCAACCCTCCCCCCCACCTCCCACCAATCCTCCTCCCTACAAGAGATGTTGGGTGAAAAACTAAATTTTAACATTTTGTATTAAATAATACCTCAGATTAGTTAGGATAATAAATTGACATTGCTGGATTCCTTTGTAAACCAGGAATATTTTGAATATAAATGTCATATATTTTGCACAAAAGATAACATATTTACTAGAGAAAACATTTTTATCTAATTGTATGTCTAATGCAAAATATATGATGTTTATATTCAAAATGATCACCAAATTATAAATTCACAAATGTAAATTATATTCTGGCGGGTAATTTGTGATGAATTTTATGAGCTAAAACAAATATCTTCAGTTAATAAAAAAAATATTCTTCAGGACACTATCTGTCAATCAAAGTACCCCACCCTTGCCCCCCTCTTCCCAACCGCAAGTCAGTCCCAACCCCCCACCCCCACCAATCCTCCCTTCGAGAGAAGAGTGGGTGAAAAAATAAATTTTAACATTTTGTATTAAATAATACCTCAGATTAAAGTTAAGATAATATAATTATCATTGCTGGATTCCTTGTAAGACCAGGAATATTGAATATAAATGTCATATATTTTGCACAAAAAGATAAACATATTTACTAGAAAACATTTTATCTAAAATTTGTATGTCTAATGCAAAATATATGATGTTTATATTCAAATGACTAACTATAAGAATTCAAGCAATGTAAATTATATTCTGACAGGGTAATTTGTATGAATTTTATGAGCTAAAACAAAATCTTCAGTTAATAAAAATATATTCTTCACAGGGTAACAGATGGTCGGTCGGTCCTCCCCCCACCCCCCACCAACCGTCCCAAGGAGATGTGAAAACCACTAAATTTTAATAAATAATACCTCAAACAAGTTAGGATAATATAATTGACATTGCTGGATTCCTTGTAAGACCAGGAATATTTTGAATATAAATGTCATATATTTTGCACAAAAGATAACATATTTACTAAGAAAACATTTTATCTAAAATTTGTATGTCTAATGCAAAATATATGATGTTTATATTCAAAATGATCACCAAATTATAAGAATTCCAGCAATGTAAATTATATTCTGCCGGGTAATTTGTATGAATTATGAGCAAAACAAATATCTTCAGTTAATAAAAAATATTCTTCAGGACACTATCTGTCAATCAAAGTACCCCACCTTGCCTCCCCCTCTTCCAACCACAGCGAGTCAGTCCCAACCCTCCCCCCACCCCCAATCTTAAAGAGTGGGTAAAAAATAAATTTTAACATTTTGTATTAAATAATACCTCAGATTAAAGTTAGATAATATAATTACATTGCTGGATTCCTTGTAAGACCAGGAATATTTTGAATATAAATGTCATATATTTCAAAAAGATAACATATTTACATAGAAAACATTTTATCTAAATTTGTATGTCTAATGCAAAAAATATATGATGTTTTATATTCAAAATGATCATAAAATTATAAGAATTCCAGCAATGTAAATTATATTCCATAGTAATTAGAATTTTTTGATTAAAAACAAATATCTTCAGTTAATAAAAAAAATATATTCTTCACAGGGTAACAGATGGTCGGTCGGTCCTCTCCCCCACACCCTCAACCGGCCCCAAGGAGATGTGTGGAAAACCACTAAATTTAATAAATAATACCTCAAACTAAAAGTTAGATAATATAATTGACATTGCTGGATTCCTTGTAAGACCAGGAATATTTGAATATAAATGTCATATATTTTGCACAAAAGATAACATATTTACTAAGAAAACATTTATCTAAAATTTGTATGTCTAATGCAAAATATATGATGTTTATATTCAAAATAATCACCAAAATTATAAAATCCAGCAATGTAAATTATATTCTGGCCGGTAATTTGTATGAATTTTATGAGCTAAAACAGGCAGTCAGGGATGGATGGTGTGGGCTGAATCTAAAATAGCTCTCGGCACGACTCCGCGGCAGATAACGTGGAAAAACCCGTTATGATAGTTCAGCTTCAGCGAGGACCCTGTATCGTGAAATCACGCTAGCCAAAACGTGTTAAGCGGGTATTACTGTATATATATATATACACAGTCAACCTCGACACGCAGTCCAACTTCACGCCGTTTCACGCCACGCGGTACCCTGCTGAAACTGGAATGCTTCTAACGGTGTGTGTACTGCTACGGGCCGCTAGCGATCTCTCGCGCCATTTTGGATCCAAACTCCGCATCTCTCCGCCATCCGCCATGTTGTGCTAGCGCCAGTAGGTTGCGAGTGTATGACTTTTGTTATCAGTGGCGCATATGACGTAGCGGACTGTGATTGGCCAAAGCATCCTTACGCCCCTCCCTGCTAGCTGTGATTGGTTTAATGTAGTACTATAGCGTACCCCGCCCGGCGGGACCGTTCAAGCCCCATGACCTACGGCGCCAGTTACACACCTCCTGGCTACACGTGTATATCAGTATCCATTGTTCCATAAGAATGGCTTCACACCGGACCACCACCACCACCACAAAGAAACATTGCATTACCTGGACTCCAGCCAGCCTAAGCCAAAGAAGACACGACGCTCCTTAAGCTAACGAAATAAAATATAAAATCATACAAGAGTTGGAGAAAGGAACAAGACAGGTTGATCTCGCACTTCAGCATGGTGTTAACGAATCAACTATCAGGACAATTAAGAAGGATGCAGCCAAGATAAAAGGAGCACATAGACATCACAAAGTCTACAGGTGCTTCTATGATCAAGTATTTTCACAACCAGGCTGCTTCTCTAGGCGAAAAATTACTTGTGAGCTGCTACTTGGTGCGCCAGGCACACGGAACATGGCGTGGACAGCGGCCAGTTATGAGCACGACGCGGAACTGTATGCTGCAGTGTCACTGAAAGATGAAATTACAGAGCCCAAACCCTTTAATGCTCTCTGGGTGGTTACAGAGGTTTTAGAAGAGAAACAAGATCACCAATATCAACATTGGTGGTGAAGAAGTTGAAACCGTGTTAAGTGCTAGGGAATTTCCTCCTCGTTTTCGTGAGATTATGGAGGAAGGACAGTACACCAATGACCGGGTGTTTAACATGGACCAATCTGGTCTTTTTGAGCTACCTTCCAAGACCTTTCGCTAGAAGAATGCCAGCAAGAAAGTCGGGCCCTGAAGTTAGAAGCGAAGATCACCGTCCTGTTTACCACCAATGCCTCCAGTACCTGTAAGCTCAAGATATCGTGATCCACACAGCACGCAGTCAAGACGCCTACAAGAGCATGGACATGACCCGCTTAAATGTCCACTGGCTGACCGACATGTAAGGCGCGGATGTCCTTTACACTGTCCCTCTCCTGGTTTGATGACTGTTTCGCTCCCGATGTGAAGAAATTCTGTGAGCAACAGAAAGTGCCATTTAAGATTTTTGTTGCTGCTGGGCAACGCACCAGAGCAATACGTAACCGAACGAAGTACTGAT